AGTATCATAAATGATCACTTAGAAGGTGGCTAGCCTAATCGTTGGCGCCATTTTTAGCTCTCTTGTAATAAAGAGGCTAATACTAGTTTGTAAGTCGGCTGATGGTAGGACTAGAGAAGGACAGTATTCTTTGATTGGTGTTTTGTTTTCTTTTTTTTGATAGCACAGCTGATCCAATGTGGTGTGTGGATTGTATATAAAATAACTAGTCCCTGAAGCTTGCGTTCTTTCTAATAGCCTGCATGGGGTGTGTGCACTGCTTGCAAAAAAAAGGACAAATTATGCTAAATCTATGAGATAATGATCCTCAGATAATTATTAATAAAGTAAACATTTTGGGTATTTTGCAGTAAACTCAAATGTTATTTCACGGTTTGTTTGTTTAAAAAAAAGTATATTATTTATTTTGTAAGGTATTGTCCATGTAGAGTAAAGTAATAGTAAAACTGGGTGAGTCAATATGGGTGTGTGTAGCGTCCTGAAGTTCAATGTGCAATGTCCAAGCCTCATTTGCATGTTGTCACCAAAAAGCAGCAGTCTACAAAACCTATAGTGTTACCATAGTGTGTATCGCATTCTGTTTCATCTTATTTTGGGATAATAGTGTGCCAACAGCGGTTGGTTAGCACTAAACACAAAGTGAAGCTTTTGGCCTGGTGATCATTACACTGTGTAGCACACGTTTAAAAAATAATAGTAATAATATCACCTGGAGTTTCTGAGTATCATCTTTTGTGATTAAGGTTCATTAATTATAAGACATGAAACAGAACAGAAATGTTTCAAAGGATACAAACACAAAAAGACTTCTTAAAACAAACTGAGTACTTACTAACGCTGCTACCTCTAAAAACTGTCAAACGTCTCAAATGAGGCCAAGTTTACTAAAGGGCAATATTACTGACTATGTTTAAAATAAGACAAACCATGTTCAAGTCACCTTTAAATAAACAAAAAAAAAATTAACAGCATTTATTTGTTGTTTGGTTTCACTTATGTTAAAGCTTTCTGTCTGGTGATAATGTAGCTACAAATATTAACTAACGAGTGCTCAGTAATTCATTAATAAATGGATTCTGGGCTGTATTCATCCATTTTGCTTGGGTTAGGTTGAGCCAGTTAATAGCTCACATAAGGCTGATGCATGCAATTTATTATTAAAGCTTCACATTGCACCGCCTAAAGACCAACCTTGACTATCAGTATCTGTACGATTGAAGCAAAGTTCAGAAAGTACTGTTTCTTTAGTGATAATGAAAAGCATGCAGATTTGTGTGTCCACCCATTAGGATAATTACTACATTATTGATGCGTGAGGGTAATAACCACAGTGTCTGTGCTGGTCTTGGCTGCCCCAGACTGGACAGTGATCACATCAGTGATTCTACCAGCAGAGGCCACAGGAGCCCGGCTGTTAATTATTAAATGCTCCCGTGTCACCACCAGAACAAACAATCACACTTCCTCTTCTCATTTCTGTGTGTCTGGTTTCTCTCTGTGTCCACAGGAAGCAGGGCTCTGCATCTCCGGCTCCGGCGTCTCCAGGCGCCAAGTCAGAGAAGAAATGTGTCCCCAGCTGTCTCAGGCGCAAGCGCAGCATAAAACGTGTGAGCTGACCCGTGACACCCGGATGACTTCAAACTTATTACCTAGAAGAAACCTATTTACTATCACATTCACGGTGACGTGGGAGATCATCATCTTCAGTCCCCCTCCAGTGAAAAGGCTTTAATGAATTATCTAATGATGCTGGAGGGGCGGACACTTGACTTGCAGCCCACTACGAGAGGATGAAATGGTCTTATTCCCTCCTGGTTTAGAAAGCGGAGTTCCTCTTAAGATTTTTTTTTAAAAGACAAAAATACTTTAAGCTACTATTTTTAAAGCCAGTTATTGTTCGTGGTAATCATTTGATGGATTGTTTGATGTTTATTTTTAATTCATTTTGTCCCCTTCAGTCTCCAAATTCAGGACTTTTATTAAATTTCCTCATTCTCTACTTAACCTCCACTTTACCTCTGGACATGTTTTTGTAACTGTGTTTTGTTGTTTCTTTTCAAACAC